TTAATGAGTCCCTTCTCGTTTGACAGGTGCAAAACATGTCCCAGTCGATAGAGGTGTTGGACAGGCGGACCCAGAGAGACCTACAGTACGTGGAGGGGACTGGAAACAAAATTTAAGCAAGTGGAAGAAAGCCACAAGCAGCACCTGGCAAGGCAGTTTAAGGTATGTCTGCTTTCCAAACTCCTAATGGAGCTGTGGCCAGGGAATTCTCGGGGTGTGCATGGGACTGTGGCCCTGGTTCCCATCAGGGGAACCATCTGTGGGCTCCCCCCTCTCCAAAGCACAACCTGCTCCAGGTTGTGGCATCACATCCTCAGTACATTTTTCTGTAGGGTAGAAGTTTAAATCTCCATGTTCCCACAGCCACAAACCACCTCGGTGCCCCAGCAGGGCAGCGTAGGATGGCTCCATAAGGGGGGTCTGCAGGGAGGCCCTGGGGCAGCTGAGGTCTGGGAGAGGTGGGTTCCCTTCCATGGCCAGGCAGCCTTTCCCTGTGCCACGCCCATGACCCATTTCTTGGGAAAAGCCAGGAACTGGGGCTCCATTTCCATTTCTGCAGCACGTGGCAAACTGCAATGGGCTGTCACCAAACCGCATCCCCCCTTGGGGTGGCTGTAGCAATGGATTAATCACTCAAACATCACCTCCCTCCCCCCAAAAAACCCCAACAGTACAATTATTACAGCTCTCCTCAGGCTGGTGAGCTGCACATCTCCAGGATCTTGTCCAATTTTGAAGGAATGGTGTTGGCAGCAGAGCCAGCACCTTCTGATGGACTCTGTGTGTTGTGTCCTGGTGCCACACAAACGAGGGGTGAAGCTGCCAGCCTTTGGAATGCAGCTGGCACTGAGAGCAGTGGCCAAACCCTCAAGAACTCGGTTGAGAACAAATTGAATTGCCAAAAAGAGTCTGAAATTTTAGTAATGCTTTGGGTTAATAGCTTTAAAAACAAGTTGAGAAGATTTGTAGTGAAATTTGGGGATGTTCCTGATCAGCCACCCAGCTGATTCTCACCCTCATTTTCAGGCAGCTGCCCAGCTGGCTGGTATTTTACAGCAGAATTTTTAATGTTAAATACTTAAATACCAAGATTATATCATAAAAAGCTGGGAAGAAGGTTCTTAAAACTTTTCACCAACTCCACCTCCTCCGCTCCCCATCTCCAGTTACTGCAGGGCCCTAAATTTAGCTCTGCAGTCTGGATGTAAGAACCATCTTTCTGATTTGAGCATGACTTTCTTTTTTATTTATTTGTTTAATTTATTATTATTTTTTTTCCCCTCCATTCTGATGAGTTTAATGCCCCACATCGTCTGCCAGGGAGCTTGCACAGGGGAGTGCAAGTAAATAAAATCAATATATTCCCCATGCACAAAGCACAGGAGGGAAAACCTCCTGACTTAAATAGGAGGGGATGGATGGGAAGGAAAGGAATGAGGCTGAGGACCAATTTCTGATGCTGTTCAGCCCTGAGCTGCTTCAGCAGACAGGCAGATGTCACAGCCCTGGGCGCTGTGAACTTGGCCACTGTGCAGTAGTTTAAGCAGCACCAGGTATTCTGTGTGTACTAACATGCTTCATTAACAGATAGGTGCATGCATATTTATGTCTACTCATTAGCTGCTGGAGCAGAGCATCTTCAACAAAATGCTGCATACCGAGCCTTTAAACGAGGCCCTCATTTAATTTAAAAAAAAAAAAAAAAGGGAAAAAAAATTCATTTCTGCGAATTACATTTGATAACGACTTTGATTTTTATGGTCTGTGCCTAAAAACAGTAAGGAATTTTTGTCTAATTTGCTGCCAAAGCACCATTTTAAAGAACAGCCACAGCATTTTGTTTCTGCTAATGCCAGCATTAAAATGTGAGTGGTTTGGAGCTCTTGTGTTGTTTTTTTTTTCTCTCTTTAGTTCCGTAAGAGTATTTGTCTATGAATGGCTATCTATATAAGGCAGGTTAGTGAGCTAGATCCTCAACAGTATTTCATTTTCTTGCTTACAGGGCTAACTTAAAAGCAAGTTTTTTCAATGCTGCAGTGACTGAAGAAGCAGTTCACTCCCATGTAACCATGAAAAGAGGGCCACAGAGCATTTTGCACCATGCATTGATTTTTTTGATTATTTTCCAAATTAGCACCATATCTCACTAAGGAACCTTGAACCACACAACCAAGATCTTCCTTTGCATGCAATTGTAGATGCATTTCATGAATAGTTTGAAACCCTTGTCAATGCATATATATATATTATTTTCTTTTATTTTTTGGAAAGAAAAAAAAAAAACAACTCTTTGTGTATGTGATCTGAAGCATGTAACCCTAAGATGTTGCATTCTAAAAATGACAAATAAAGGCCTTTCCCAAATATTTTGGTGTTCTGCAGCCTGTTTAATATGTTCTTTCCAAGACATCATTTGGACCAAAATAATAATTAAACTAATTTTAATGCTAATAATTGTGGGATATGAACATTGCGCTCACGTAGGAAGCAACCAGGTCAAGGCAGAGTGTTGCAGATTTTTGCACGCATAGCACTGAACCGAGCTTATTTTAACCTTGCAGGCAATAAAAGCGAAAATGGAGGAACTTAGGCCTTTGATACCAGTGTTGGAAGAGTACAAAGCCGATGCCAAATTGGTATTGCAGTTTAAAGAGGAGGTCCAGAATCTGACGTCAGTTCTAAACGAACTCCAGGAGGAGATTGGCGCCTATGACTACGAAGAGCTTCAGAACAGAGTGTCAAATCTTGAAGAAAGGCTTCGTGCATGCATGCAAAAATTAGGTAGGCTCAGAACGACATGGTGGCACTGGCTAAACACCATCGATGTTAAAAACCTCTCATCCCGTCCGGAGGCAGAGATGCCACTCTGGCCATCTTGTGCCGTGCCCGGCCGGAAGGGATGAGCTGGCACAGCCAGGTTGGATCCTGTAAAGAGCTATGCTATCAGTAACATTCGTCTTGGGAGTAGTCCTGCCGAGGATTACTCGCATGAGCAATGTTGCTCGTGGTGTAAGTGCTTCAGGATCGGGCCCGTGAGTGGGCATGTGGCGCCGGGGGCGGCGTTTGCATAAGCGGCCGGGGCGGATCCGGCTTATGCAAAGCAAACACATGCACCCGTGTTTTGCTCGTGCATCCGCGTCCGACCTTTTTGCTAAGTGCAGCTGGCCCCCAGCAAAGGTCTGTGTGCGTGGAAGGGGGGGTGTGGGGGCTCCGTGACCTGGTCTCCCTGGTTGCCCTTTTCCCTTTTGCATCTTGCAAACCCCCCCATCCCCCGGAGAAGAGCATGGTGGAGCTGGGGCGGGGTCGTGGTGTGGTCCGGACTGTGCAGCTGGGCAGGATGTAAATCTCCCTGTCTCTCCTGTTCCCCAAGGGAGCAGGGATCCCTTTCCATCAGGCTGGTGCTAAACCACCAGAGATTCATCTCTAATCTCATTCGGAGAGTATTAATGGACTGAGGCCCGTGGGTCTGTCGTGGGGAGGCTCAGCTGTCGCCAAACCCAGCGTCTGACCCCAAACAGAGGGGGAAGGAGGGCACTGCCTTCTGCAGCTGCAAGAACTCTCCCCACCATTTGTTGGGCCAGCTCTGACTTGATTTAATTTCTCCTTACATTATTGACTTTCTTGTTACGCAGTTTAGATAATCTAAACGCATTAACTGCTCTGCAGTCTATTTTGGTAGCACATACGAAATTACACTCTCAGGTAACTTCATGGAAGATCAGATCTCTTCTGAGCACTTTATATCCTTGGCAAGGTAATGCTTTGTTTCTCTCTTGGCTCTGGTGGTGGGATTGCTTTTGCTTGTTTCTAGATGCCTCCACAGGTCTGTAAGCAGCCGCTGACCCTCTGTTTCCCTCCGCATTTCCATCCTGCCCTCTGATATCATGTTGATCCCTTACAGGCTCCACCTGACTTGAAATCTCAGAGAGGAAAGTGAATTCCCACCTAAGCCTGGATGCTCAGAGTATTTGAACTATGTATTTGAACTATGAGTGTGCAGAGAGTAAGGCACTGAGGTACCCCTGGGGCAGGTACAACCCCCCTGGCCAAGTGAGAGGGCAGAGCCTGATTTCTCATTTATTAACGAGCGCTGGTGCACCCAGGTTTGGTTTGGGAGTGGGGGAAAGTCACACCACAGCAGGCAACTTTGTCCAGAAACTTTTGTTTTGGTTTGGTTTTTTTAAGATCTTTTTGAGTCTTTATTTGGGCTTTTTTGCTGGGTCCCTTCTCCCTCCTCTTGCTCTCTCTGTGACCGTGGGGTCAGGGCAGCTCCTCTGCCCTGGGATGTTGCAGCACTCCCGGGTGCTTGCAGAGATGGATGCTGTGTCTCACAAAGGTGAGACAAATCCAGGAGGATTTGCTGCTCACCCAGGAGGGTGATTTATTTGGTCACTTAACAGCAAACAGCACGGATTGAATTTCCAATGTTGTTTATGGCTTCGGCGTGTAAACCAGCGAAAATGGTAGTTAATTGAGTTAAATTCAAATAACAACCTTACACTTTGCTGCCACACAATGAGGCCCTGATTGCTGAGGATTTCTGCAGGTTTGCAGCAGGTTGTCTGCTCTGAGGGGTTCACTGATGTTTCAAGGAGCACGTTTGAGCTTAGAGTTGCTCCTGCATGGGCCAGAAATGCTGCTCACCTGGAGCGTGTTCACCTCCTGCAGCTCAGGGTGCCCCAAACAGGGTCAGGGAACTGCTGCAATAAGCACAGGGCAAAGGAAGGGGAAGGATGTGCCATATTCCCATCCAGTTCACCTCTCCCAGGAAGCACTGATGCTCCACAGTGCAGCAGCATTTTCCTTAGACAAGGTCCTGTTTTGCATTTTGGGCTTCCTAAGCATTATTGATGGATCAATAGTGAAAACACTTCCTGACCCTGGCATGTGTGTGAAGGGAAAAAAAAAATCAATAATGGCAGGTTCAATCTGTGTTTCTGTTTACACTCTCAAAGATCACTATTTATACAGGGATTTTAACGTTTCCATTAATGTTCCTAAGAGGAGCCTTGGAGGAGTGGAGAGGTTGTCACTCCTTGGCTCAAGGGGAATTGAGCTCAGGCTCATGTTTGCCTGCCAGCCTAAGCTTGGAAAAAAATCCTGGTGCAGGGATGGGGATAGAGCCCTGCCAGCCTGTCCCTGATGTTTTTGGGATGGGGTGCTCCCAGCCAGGCAACAGAGGTGAAGACAGGGCATCCCCCAGCTGCCACAACCCCATCCCTGCTGTGGAGGGCTGGGACTGGGATGGGGGATGAGACCTTGGCTTCCTGGGAAGCCCCAGCAGGGCAGGATCCTGACTGTGGCAGCAGCAGTCCAAGCAGAACCGTGGAGTCCAGAAGGAGCCGGTGGCTGCGTTGGTGGATAAATTGCTCCTGAGCTGCTAAACATCACTTGTGGGCTGGATCTGAGGAGAAATATGGAGCGGAGGTGTTGGCATCCTGGGAGGATGGTAGAGCTTGTTTTAGCTGGCAGGAGGAAAGCGTGTCTTCTCTTGCTGGAAAATTCCTCTTGCAGTTCGAGGAAGGGGCTGGGGGGGGTTCTGTTCCATGGCTGCTCTGAGGGGCTGCAGGAGGGCAGGACAGAGGCTGGTCAGCCTGGAGGGACACTTGGGGAGAGGCTCATTTGTGCTGTTTTCCAGGAAGAGGGACCTGAATAGCACTGGGGAAAGAGGAGTGAAAACAACTCCTCTGTGATGCCCCAAAAGCTGCTGCTCACAGGCCTCCCCTGTGTCCTGGACTCCTGGACGAGCACCAGGACATGCTTTTCTGTTGCACATTTGTCCCTGAGTGACCTGAAACGTGCCCAGCATCCCATGATCCTGCCATCCCAACAGGAGAGTGGCTTTGCTGCTAAAGGCTCAGCACCCATGGGGGAAAATTGCTGATGATATTCAGTGTGTGGTGTGGATCTCAGCAGGGATGGATGGATGGGTGGGTGAGGATCAAAGGCTGTAGTTGTCCATCCCTGGGTGGTAAGCCCAGGAAAGCTGCAGGGACATGGCTAAGTAGGGACCCTAAAGAAACTTCCCCCCAGCATCTGAGTGCCTGGGATAGATTTACACCAGGAGAGAGAACACCTTGTCCTGTGTAAGAACAACCCTCTTGCATTGCAGAAGAGCTGTTGAGAATGTGCCTCCAGCTATACGTGTAGGAGATGTTGCAAACGACACTAGTTTACTCTTATCAGCTGCTGCTGCTTTATTTTTTTAACTATTTTTTTTTAATCAATGAGCTTTTATACAACACTTCTCTCCAGGGAAATGGAAGGAAGAGATAAAGTGACAGCAGTGTAGGGTTGTGATAATGGCAGGCAGCGCTGAGGCAGATCTGTGATTAGAGGAAGGCTGGACCTCTGCAAGGGGAATTTGCAAGACATTAAAATGTCTTATTTTAACCCATTGCATCCCTTTGCCAACACTTTGGTCTCCCCCTGAGCTGAGAGGTTTTGAGTGCATCAGGTAGGCAGGAGGGCAAATTCCTGTCTGTCGTGTCTCAGGGAGGCCAGGAAAGCTCTCTGCTTTTTGGTGGGATCTCTGTCTGCTGCGGTCTGAAGGCTGTGGGAGGATTGATAGTCCCCTTGGTCATGTCAGGCTGGTGCATATCAAGAATATCTTCATCTGTTTGGTGTCCCAGGATAAGGTGACCCCTTTGGGCACAGCTCAGAGCTGAGGGAGGAGGATGTGTCCCGTGGCTGTGATCAGGATAGAAAGGTGCTGGTGAGAACAGGCTAAGGAGGGAGGCAGCTAAAGAGATTGCAGAGTGTGTGTGTGTTCTGGAAACATTCAAGGTCTGGAATCTATGATTCTATGAAGGTCAGGTTGGACAGGGCTCTGAGCAACCTGATCTAGTTGAAGACGTCCCAGCTCATTGCAGGGGGTTGGTCTAAATAACCTTTAATGGTCCCTCATAACAAACTATTCTATGATTTTACTTGGTAATTTTGAGCAGAATGACCTTGTCCTGAGCTGGCAGAGCTCTGCCTGTGTTTCAGCAGCACCTGCAGGGGCTCCCACCTGCAGCCCCAGCCCTGGGTGCCCTGCTGAGCAGGTACTGCAGTGCAGCTGCAGCTCTGCTGGATCCTCAAACCCAGCACCCAGAGCAGCTGCTCCACCCCAGCACCGCCACCTTCCCCTTCCCAACCTGACAGAGGCTTCCACGTCAAAAAGGAGAAGTCAGGAAATGCTTTCTGAACTTCAGGGGGTGCCTGTCCCCCTGGTGCCACTGGCCTGAGCTTGGCTTGCCCAGGGGATGCTGCTGCAGGACCAGCTCTGCACTGAATGTGGCCAGGTTTTAAATGAGCGCTCCTGTAGCAACAGAGCGTCCAACACCAGCCCCTCCCGAGGCGTCTCTGTCTCTT